TTCATTTTTAGCCTTTTGATTGCACCATGCAACAACGTTTGACGTAAAATGTAAGAAATGGATTTTGAGTCTGGTTTATTATATATACGGAGAATGATAGGAGGATGGAGAAAAAAACATAAAAGAATGTATAGGTCCACGTTGAAGGTGAAGTTGACATTCTTCATATTTACAATTCATCAAGTATTAAAGACGTCAGTATCACCAGGTTTATTTTCATTCAAATCTTGAACTTAAATGCATAAATTTGGAGGGCTCAATATTGGCTAACTTCAACACTAGTCAAATTAGCAAGTTGAGCTTCCAAAATTCATATAAAATTGTATTGCCACTTCCAATCCAACATGTCATCCAATTAGGCCATTCTCCAAATAATTACAAGAATGTTATTGACCTTAGTTCTATGAATTATTAAAAAGTCCACGAAGATTATAGTAAACCCCCCCCCCCCCCCCCCCAAAAAAAAAAGGTCTAGAATATTACTTTTTAATTAATTGTAATGTACTGATAGTATTAGTAACAAGATAAATTTAACATATAATTGATTCCCTATCGAATTCAAGTTAACACTGTGTTCAAATATGTATGTAACTTTATCTGGTGTGTTAGATTGAAATAACTTAACACATATTAAAAAGGCAAGAAATATAACGAACAAGCCATAAAGTTTCACCTAGATGTCATTGTGAGGAGTTGCGAGCCATGAAATCATTGCAATAAGAAACAAAAGAAAACAAATAGGTTAGTTATTGGATGAGCATCTTAAGGAAGTACAAGAAGCAAAGATACGAAAAATAAGCTTTGGCGTTCAATGAACAAAATTCGCAATTAAAGGAGATTTTGATGGAATCTCCAAACATGGGCCTTCTCCAAGTAAACCAACAAAAAACAAACAAAACAAATTAGTGGGTACGTTTCAAAGAGAACGCAAGGCAGGAAAAAAAGGTGTAATAAAGTTAAGAAAAAGCTCACTCTACGATGTGACATTATTTGTTAATGTATTATGTATATATATAATTCATATAATATTGTTATATCTCTTACTTCTGTTTGTTGAATACAATTTTATTTTGTTTATTTGACACTTCATATCATGAAATTTTAATTTGACAATTATTTTTATAGATTTTCTTTTATTTTGCATGGTACTTTGCGATCACACAGAATTTTTCTGTACATCTTAATCATATAA